AAATTAGCCTATTTGCAGACAACATCATATTGATGATTACCAACCCAACCAAATCCCTCAAAACAATACGAACGCACCTTCAACAATACTAAAATGGTTTCCTATTATAAACTCAATGAACCCAAATCTTCAATTTTAAACCTCCACACACCACACCATTCCCAAATATTACTTACTAAACAATTCCCCGTTCTCTTGGGAAAAAAATAGCATTCCCTATTTAGGAATCAAACTCACTTCAACAACGGACCAACTATTCTCATCAAACCTCAAAACACTACTTGAAACTATACCCCAAGAAATTGCCACCCTACGCACCTCAAAACTCTCCAAATTAGGCCGAGTTGCGACCTTGAAAATGTACATCCTACCAAAAATCTTGTACATTTTTCGCACACTCCCCATACCAGTTCCTAACTCCTTCCTTTCCAAATTGCAATCGATTCTCTCCAGATTTTTATGGAACTCTAAAAAACCTAGATGCACTACCAATCTCTTAATACGCCCATCTTCCAAAGGAGGTGCGGGCCTTCCACATTTAAAACCCTACTATAATGCTATTCTTCTGTTCTTCTGGACCAAATATATTTTTGGTGGAACCCAACTAGAGAAAAAATTTGGTCTACAATGGAAACCTTACCCTTTCATCCACTTAAACCCCCAAAATTTACTCATAATTCCTACAATGCTACAAACCAATTACCAATTAAAACACCCATGTATTCAAGCCATCCTTTAAGCCTGGTGCGATCTTCTGACCATGGAATACACAGACTCCAAACAAATTCTCACCCCAATTGAAATATTACACTCCATTACACCCTCACTGGACCTATTCCAATGGGAAAAAACGAAACATACACAAAATAACAGACCTCTATAAAGACCACGCCCTACAGCCATTTCAAATTCTCCAATCCACGTTCGAATTACCATCCACGGAATACTTCACCTACTTAAGGATTGCCCACTGTATGCTAACAAAGAGTATACCTCACACCACATAAATCCCTAATACTGCCTACCTTTTCTTTACAAAGCCACAATACCCAGGTAAAGGTATCTCCACTTTCTACAAATACATAACGAACATGCAATTTGCTTTCAAAACTACCTCCTTATCCAACTGGGAAAAAAAAAACTACATCACATGCATGGAGCACAGCATTTAATACCACTTACAAATCATCCCGCTGAAGTTCACACTGGGAAGCATACTTAAAAATCCTCCACCAATGGTATCTAACCCCAGTCAAACTTGCCATGTATTACCCAAAAACACTCTGCCTCTTGCTGGCCACAATGCGGAGTCATAGGTTCAACACTACACATATTATGGTCATGCAAATCAATTAAATCCTTTTGGAAATGTGTCTTCCAACTACTCTCTGAAATAACCCAAACAGTGATCAACCCAAACCCCCTACTTGCGCTTTTTACACATTGGGATTGAAAAATTCCCCTACACCTCTCGCACCATAATTGTCCACATACTTTTTACAGCAAAAATCACTATAACCAGATTATGGAACACCACTACTGCCCCTTCTCTCAAATCACTAATTACAGATCTTAATTTCCAATGCGAAATGGAAAAAAGATCGGTCCTCAACAACTCCACCCAATACAAATTTAATTCTCAATGGACTAACTGGTTAAAACATCCCAATTGCTCAGTACAAGCCTGATTTTGTACAAACAATTGAATTACCCACCCACTTTAGACTGGTACTCCTCCCCCCATCCCATTATAACTTCCTCCTCCTCTCCCTACCCTCTTGCTGTTCTCCCCATGTTTACACCCCTCTACCATTTTCTGCACCTCACCAAAATTCAGTATATATCCATATTTACCTATGTTACTATTGCCTTATTCCTTGTCCCCAGCCAAATGGTGGGGTACACATGCTCCAATACTGTATTGTATGACTACAATTTTTATTGAACTGAATGTCATTATTATAACATTACCCTGTTATTGAAAATCTTCAATAAAAACATTTTGAAATAAAACTCATTTTATCTATTCTGCTTCTGTCTTGTGGCTAAAAAATGGACCCATATGAGCTGTGTTATTTTATGGGTTTTTTGTTTCCCCAAAGAAACAGCTAAAATAAAACATTAAAAGCAACAATACACAAACAATAATTACGTAGACTAAACAGAAAAAACACAAATACAAAAAAACACTAAATGAAAATGCCTAAACTACCCTAATTAAAAAAAAAATAGGATTTCTTATTAAAGAAAAAATGAATGAATGATCAGGACTCATATTTGGTCCTATAATATTCGTCACCCAAACTAGCTAAAATCAGCAGACAATTTCATTAGATGCATTGTAACTGGAAATAACCTAATAAAGGTCCGTGTTTTCCTGTATATAAGTATACAAACTCCAGAATTCTTCTCAGTAGTGCACTGTGAAAACAACATACTCTATTTTCATCTAATTGCAGGGATGAGAGGAAGCAGATGCCTACCTTCTACTATTTTTTAAAAAGCACTGAATATCTTGTATGTTAGTTGGCAAGAAATGCTGCCTACAGGTATTATCGGGAAAACATGCAAGTCCTATTTCAAGCAGCACTCTATGCAGAGATGTTTCTTCTCTTAATGACTCATTATGGCCATGGAAATCTATTAAACAGAAAGCCATCAGTGGCCATGGAACCTTTTGTGAAGCTACCCTGCCAATCACTGTTACTTTGTGGAGCAGGATGATGATTGACAAGCTGGCTTCCCATGAGGCTCTGTATGAACTCAAGGCTTTCCTGCAGTGGTCTCAAGTGAGCAGCAGTAGGAAAAAAAAAAAAAAAAGATTGTGATGCAAAAGCAGCATTTATTCTCTGTATCCTCCAAACATACAGTCTCTTAGCAGTGACTCATACTAAAAGATGAAGCTTAACCCTACAGCATCCTTGTGTCATGTAGGCATAACTGCCACGACCTTAATTGTTGCATTTTTGGCTTTAGCTTTGCTTTAATCCTTTCATGATGGGAATTTTTTGAATTATAGACACCCAGACTAAGTTTAAGAGCTCTGGATTGCATCAGTTAACTTGACAACATCTCTATGACTACTCTGATTGACAACATGTAGGTAGGTGCAGTTCATCCTCCCTTTTTTTTCCTCTGAAGTCTCCAAATGTGTCATCATGGGAGAACCTGCTTGAGACTGCTGCTGGGTGCTGCTATCTTGGATGTGATGTCAACAGCTCCAGAATATTCAAGTATAGATGTAAAATTTCCAGAAGTTTTGAAGCCATAGAAAAAATTTTTTTCTGTAAAGAATAGAAATTTTGGAAAAATTTAAAAAAAAATCAGTGTGGAGAAGTTTTACAAACTGAAAGTAATTTTGTTAAACTGGGAAGGTGAAATACAGTGTATATAAAATATTATGCTTGAAATAAAAGTTCAGCTTTCTCAGTAAATAAACTAAACTTGCATTTTAAACTTGTTTTTTGTATTACAAATGGAAAGAAAATTTTAACTATACACGGAAACTTGTAACCATCTCCATTTCCCTCATAATAACCTAAAAGCTTCCTGCCAATATATATTTTCAGTCATTGACAATGCTGACCCAGAAGTATATATTTCCCTTGCAGGAGCTTGATCAATGTTCTTCTGATTTTCAGGTGTCATTTTATCTATAAATGAAGGGAGTGTGTATTTGTGTGAGTCAATGGCTTGTAACACTTCCTTCCTGGAAGATGATGCTGGTGAAGGAACACTTTGCGATGATCCAGAAGCAGCAGAAAGAATGTTTCTGGAATGAGAACTCCAGCTACTTCATTATGGTCCTCGATATTTCATTCCATCAGGGGTGGACTGACAACTTATGGGGCCCCCGGGCAATAGGGGATCATGGGGCCCCTGTGTCCTTGCCCAAACTCAAAAAAGCCCATGAAAAAGGTACCAGGGGCATCTCATGGGGCCCCCTACTGACCCCGGGTCCTCGGGCAGTGCCCGAATTTCTAAATGGTCAGTCCACCCCTGCATTCCATTAAGTATTTTTTAATGTCTTTAGGGCACCTCTGGCATGTAAGGATGTATTTTTTCATCCTTGTAGCATTTGGAAAAGAATATTTATTTTCATAATATTTGCAGAAATTGCACTGTGGAAATGTTTCCAAACTCTAGATGTTGGTCTCAGGATTTTACTGACAGGAGGAAAAGAAAAAAAACTATTTACTAAGTGGACTATAAGTAAATATTATGCTGTGATGGTGGAGAACATTAATTGAAATAATTTAAAGGTTATAAAGATAAACTAAATGTCAGACAAATTTACCCTTTTACCTGCCTGAGAGGAGATAAACTATCATCTACTGTAACCCAACAATCCCCCAACTGAAGGAGGTACAGGATGGAGCCCACAAGCAAACTAAACTGGAGCCTTTCCCCTGTAGTGCCCCTCTAGTGGCAGATATGCATATTTCTCTTGTTTGAGAACTGCATTGAGAAGTACAGTGTTACTTGGATTGTATTCCAGGATTTACTTGTCTTCAGCTGAGAGAACTTACAATAATGTAATGCTTTACATAAAGTCTTATTCCACACCTTTTTTTTTCAGTTTTTCCAGAAAAAAAATATTTTGCAAAAAATGAGAAAAATGTTATTTTTCCCAATGTTTTTGTTTGTTTCCAGGCCTTCCCAACTCTACATTCAAGTGACACCCTGTAGTATTCCCTTTGATCCTCCCCCAACAGGAGGTGAAGGGAGGGACAGAGAACAGAAAATGATTGAACACTTAAAGAAAAGTAGAGTGCTACAAGGTGCCAGGAGGGAGGGGCTGTGCTATTGAACTGACTTGTCAGCTTTCTAACAAATGCAAAGGCACATTGCAAGGAAAAAAACACAAATGTATGGAGAAATCACTGCATGTAAGCATTTAACAAACTTGATTTTACCTGCAATGTTTACACTGATGGCAATGTCTCTTTAACCAGGTATTGGGGCCTCTCCTGGCAGTGCTGTTGCCTGGGCAGCCAATTGACAAGCATCTGTGTTGTCACCAGGGGCGGACTGACAACTCATGGGGCCCCCGGGCAATAGGGGATCAGGGGGCCCCTGTGTCCTTGCCCAAACTCAAAAAAGCCTATGAAAAAGTTACCAGGGGCATCTCATGGGGCCCCCTACTGACCCCGGGCCCTCAGGCAGTGCCCGAGTTTCCAAATGGTCAGTCCGCCCCTGGTTGTCACACTGGACTAAAAAGGAGTCACAAGTTATTTTGCTTGCGCTGGTGAATAGAACAGCATGGGTGCAAAAGCAACTACTGTATGTACAGCTGTGGAGATTAGTTTTAAAGTGAACCTGTTGTTTTGCAAAGCATGGATGCCCAATAAAATGGAACTGTGCCATTCAAAAGTTAGCAAATAGGCCAGTTACCAAATCCTACCTTTGCATATTTGGTTTATCAAAGCTTCCTCCCTGACTACAGTTTCATCTATACCATTCCCTGGGTTAACATACTGCTTCGCATAAAAATGCATCACCCTAATGTAGCACCATCCTAGAGTAGGATGCTAGGTAAATTAAGTTTTTGGATTCTTCTGCAATCAAGGGAGCAGTGATTGTTTTTGTCTTGGTCTGTTCATGGTTTCACAGGTTGGGAGTTTAATTTCTTCTCCTTGCCTTTGAAAGAAGCTTCTAGAACTTAGGGATGGAGATGCACATTACCAACCTCAATATTTATTATGCTCCAGCCAACCCTGGAGAGGAATGTCCAGAAGGGGACTGGATTAGTGATAAATATCACAAAACAATAGCGCAGCACTAAAGATACAAAGAAACAGATATATGTGCAATACAATCACCCAATCAGAGTGAATGCATACTGATATGTTTCACCACATAACAATATGACAAATCAAAAAGTCCAATTGAAGAGACAAACATGAATTTGTCAGTTTTCCAATCATGATGATGTCAGGTATGCCCCTGATGACATCACCTCTGGCTAAACGTGTTGGATGGAGCTGGAACATATATAAATATATACTCCTGCGCCACAGAACAAACCCCTCCTACTAAAAAAAATATATAATATATATAGGATGCTGCTGTGCACTAGTGTAAACACTAAATCATCAAATTAATCAAATAAACAGCGCAATACCCAACAAATGATACATAAAAAGAAAAATACTAGTATGAAAATTTTAAAAAATTTAAAATAAATGTGTCCAACAAACAAAAACAAAAAAAAATATAATAAATTTCACATAATATCCAAATAAAATGAAAAACCTCATAATGTGATTTAAAGTGTCCAAAATTAATGTGTCCATCAAAATATCAAAAATCATCATCGTCTTGAGAACGCCCCTCAGAGGCGAAACGCGTCAACGCACTTCCGGTCCGCTTTAGTAACGTCATACGTCACTTCCGGTGAGTGGAACGCACGCCGAGAGGTGCGTTCCAGTGGCCATTTTGGGAGCTGTCTGTCTGTCAATTTATTGTCATCCTCTGCACAGATAGCTGTGGATTTCTGCAGTATATCGTGGATGGTGTTCTGATGATGTTTGGCCATTGTAGGCTACATAATAAAGAGCCTTTTATATTGCTGCATTCCATGATTGACTTGGCATCATTATTATATATTTAAGAAGAAGTTAGTAGCAATATTACACTATATGCTATACTTTCTTCTTTGGCACAACGATGGAGCGTTTTGTTTGGAGAAAGGAAGTTGAAGAATCTTTTTAGTCTGGTGTGGTGGAATGGAGGTCTGGAGGCATTAAGAGGGGGTGTAGGATCACTAAAAATCCTAAAAGGCTTACTATTCGCCAATATCTGGTGAGTGCGATTAATGTTGGTTTCTCACTGGTGGATGGTGGAAGCACTTATGACAGAAGGATAATCACATTATAAATTTATTCGTTTTTGGTGAAGCACTTTGAAGTTGAAGAAAAAGGCTAAAGTTTCATAATGTTATACATATATTTTGATGATTTTTTATATTTTGATGGATACATTAATTTTGGACACTTTAGATCACATTATGTCAAGGTCCTACCTTTTCGCAGAGGTTATGTTACTCCATGTGCTGGCATCCATCTTGGATTTCTGCAGAGCATGGTGGGAATCCTTTATGCCTTCAGGTCTCTGTGGTCCATCCCCCAGAGGGGTGTGGCTGATGACATATAAGCCTGTGGTCCGCACATGCTCTTTGCACTTGTGTCTTGTGTCTTTGTGTTGCTATTACTCTGTTCTGACTCTCGTGACTCTCCTGGAATCTGACTCGGCTTGTGACTAGACTATTTTTTGTGTTCTCCTTTGATCTGACCCTCTGTTGCTGAACCCAGCCCATGACCTGTGATTCTCGTCTGCTGTCCTGTACCGTTTTGTCCCGTTGTTGTTGACCCGGCCTGCCTGACTACTCTATTGTCTTTTCCACCAGCTACACGTCATTGACGGCGGCCATTACCGCAACTGAGGTGTCTCGGGGGCCGCGACCTGGTTCCTGGCTGCGTCAAGTCCATCCCCACCATCAGGGGCCCTGGTGAAGGGCAGCCTGGGACTTAGACTCCGCGCCCTGAGGGACTTCGGTCTGTGGGTGGTGGTTGTCGTCAGCCAGTGCCTTACATTGTTTAGGCCTGCCTGTCCGTTCCTCAGCCCCTGCCCTGACACATTATGAGTTTTTTCATTTTATTTGGATATTATGTGAAATTTATTATATATTTTTTTTTTTTTTGGACACATTTATTTTGGACACTTCTAAATTTTTTAAAAATTTTCATACTAGTATTTTTCTTTTTATGTATCATTTGTTGGGTATTGCGCTGTTTATTTGATTAATTTGGAGCTGGAACATAGGCCACTGCACATGCATGATTCCGCTGTGGCCATCATTGTTTCTGGAAAAAAGAGCTGTTTATCTAATATGAAGTGCCTAGTCAAGATCTTTTTATTGTAAGTGTATTTACCACATTAAATTGGTGTTTTAACATTGGATTACACAATGAAGTGTTCTTTTCTCTTTCATGATTTTATTTTTGAATTTAGTATGTCTGCAGAGTGATCTATGACAAAATAGCAGTACCATCTTTTGACATGTTGTTCTGAGGAAGCAGGACATCTTGGAGTAACATACAAGCATTGGCTGACCACTCTTCATTGAGGGTCATATAATTCTGGTAAGCCCCCCTCTTATGTGCACAGGGGTGTTGTGTGGTTTTACAACTGGGAAAGTTGGTGCCTTCTGGGATCCACATCTATCACAATTGGAAGACTGCTGAATTCATTTGTGGCTCTTCAACTGGACTTTTTGATTTGTCTTTTTGTTATGGAGTGAAGCATATCAGTTTGTATTCACTCTGATTGGGTGATTGTATTTCACACATATCTGCTTCTTTGTACCTTTAGTGCTGCACTGTTGTTTTGTGATATTTTGTTATACTCTGTATTATTGTGCCAGCTGCTAGGCACTACTATATTTACTAGAGACCTACCATGTTTTTTTTTTTTAGTTTTGCAATAGTAATAAATATTCTGATGCACTGGAGATCAGGGCTTCTTTTCCCCAAAGGGTTCCACAGCCTGAGGGGCATTGACCACACTTGGAAGTGCAATATGTTAAAAGGAAACCTATGGTTTTGGCATAAGTCTTCAGTTTATAAAATCATCATTGTAATATCAAGCAATAGCTATAGCTGACAATCCAATATAAGATTACCTAAAACATATCCTTTCGTTGTGAGTTTTTCCTGTTTGCTGGTCATAACTTTTCACAACTTTCTAGACTCTCTGCATACTTTGCAGCTTCTACTCTGCTGTTCACTTTCCATTTTTAAGGACTACATATCCCATGGTCCCTTGCTACCTGCAAGCAATGATTCCTGTACAGACTCTGCCTCCTAAAACTCCTCCTCTCAGCACCTCTAAAGTTTAGAAAGCATGCTCTGTGACATGTGTGCCACAGCAGTGTCTACTCACAGGGCATAGTGACTATGGATCACAGAATTTAATGAAGTAAATGTGTGGGGATCTTCGCAAAGAAAGTCTACAAACTTCAGGATCAGTCATATTAATAGGAGTAGGATATAAATAATTTAAATACAATGTGAAAATGCATAGGTGATTTTAGGTTTTGACCATAGATACACTTAGGCTCAGTTCACTAATGCAATGTGATTTTCATGCAATTTCCAATGTAACTATGTAGTGCAACTTGCTTACAACTTTAATGCAATCTGATTGTTAATAACACCCCAATCACGGTTAGCAGGTGTGTGTTTTGCATACAAAACTTGCCAAAACGCACACTGAAAAAGTGACCCTTCACAACTGAAAAGATTCTAGAGCTTCTTTGGGTCATTCGTCACTTGTAGGGTAGCCTATTCAAATGAATGGGCTGCCCTATGCACTATGCACATTTACACATGAATAATAAGCAAAAAACCACAAGTGGGAATGCACGTTTCTTATCATCAGTGATACCCCACAAGGTGAGATCTTGCATGGAGCCCCAGTCTGAGGGAGACTGACAGTCGTCTTTAGCCTCTTCCATTTTCTAACAATTGCTCCAGCAGTTGATCTATTTTCACCAAGCTGCTTGGCAATTGCCCCGTAGCCCTTTCCAGCCTTGTGGAGGTCCACAATTTTGTCTCTGGTGTCTTTTGACAGCTCTTTGGTCTTGCCCATGGTAGTAGTTGGCGTTTGACTTACTGTGGGGTGGACAGGTGTCTTTAAAGAGCTCAGACAGGTGCTACTAAGTTAGATTGATGAGTGGAGTAGAGGTGGACTTTTTAAAGGCACAGTAACAGGTCTTTGAGAGCCAGAATTCTTGCTGTTTCTTAGGTGTTCAAATACTTATGTTCAGCAGTGCAAGACAAATAAATTCTTTAAAAATCATACAATGGGATTTCCTGAATTTTTGTTTTTAATTCTGTCTCTCAGAGTGGGAATGCACCTACAATGTGAATTTCAGACCCCTCCATGATTTCTAAGTGGGAGAACTTGCAAAATCGCAGGGTGTTCAAATACTTATGTTCCTCACTGTATGTGAATGTTTGACCATTCTTCCAGAAGCACATTTGTGAGGTCAGGCACTGATGTCGGATGAGAAGGCCTGGCTCACAGTCTCCACTCTAATTCATCCCAAAGGTGTTCTATCGGGTTGAGGTCAGGACTCTGTGCAGGCCAGTCAAGGTCCTCCATCCCAAATTCGCTCCTCCATGTCTTTATAGACCTTGCTTTGTGCACTGGTGCGCAGTCATATTGGAACAGGAAGGGGCCATCCACAAACTGTTCCCACAAAGTTGGGAGCATGAAAATTGTCCAAAATGTCTTGGTATGTTGATGCC